TTGTTTTAGACTTTGTATTGTCAGAACATGTACATGAAGACAATTTGATGTTCAAACTTAGCAGCTGTGCATGTGCGTAAATATAAGAGGGCGTTACAACTGAGGTTATCGTGCGTCAGACATTGATATTGTGTTCTGCCAGCTGGTAGGTCGGAGGCGTGTCCTGCTTGGGGAGGGTGCCTCTTTGGAAACCCTGGATTGATGTAGTTTGCATCCAAGCTGCTTATCGAGATGCACTTCCTCATCTACTATATCCTCTCTCTCTCCTCTCTCTCCGCTTCTTCCCTTCTCTTGTCTCTTTCCCCAATCGAACTTTTCCCTTATTCTGACTTGTATTTTAACCATTTTATCTTTACTTTGCTCTTCCCAACGTCAGAGATCAATATGCACTGCACATAGAAGCTGGCCTCACTCGCTCTGTAAAAACTCCCGACTGGAAACCAGATGAGATTAAACTTCATCGAGCTTTTGAGCAAAAACAACAAAAATGGTGTTCCCAATCAAGATTTACATTTAGTCATCAGAGACCAGTTATATTAGTAAAAACATGTTTTTTATATAGGTATTTATTTCATTAATTGCCTGACATGTGAAGATGACAATACCTCCCTCTGAGATGATAGAAATACAATTAGCTCAAACTTGTACTAGTAGTAAATGTAGTAAAAAAGACGTCTGCATGTCCCTGGTTACACAACGCCTATGCATAATGTAGTAATGGAGTAGTAACTTTCCCCGGGTTTGTGTATAAGATCTGTCTCTAAATGTAAATAACGACTCGTACATGAAGCCCAAACTCAAACGTGTGCCGGGTAAAATATCAGCCTTTATATTCGGTCTCCAGGTTTGTTAATGATGTGTTTTAATGAGCCGAATACTGTCGACAACGATAACGTCATAGCCCCGCAGCTCATTAAAGAAGTCATTTATTCTGGTAAACAGATAATAATATCATATATTGTATCATATTATAAAACTTGGACATAATTACCCACAGTGTTGGGGTCGTTACTCAAAATGAGTAATGGATTACACATTTCTCTCAGGAGTGGACCCAAATGCAGACAGCAGAGGCAGCAGGATGACTTCAGTGATTTATTGTTGATAAGTTACGGGCAGGTTCAGGGGAAAGTATAATTCCAGGAAGAGCAAGAACCAACAGGGAAACAACCGGGAACTACTGACAACTGAAAGCAATACAAAACAATACAAAATTAACTAATTAACCAGTGAAACACAGGCGAACCTAACCAGGACGAAACAGCCAAAGACAGCAAGTAAAAAAACAAGATAGGAAGAGAATTACAAAATAAAACAAGAAATAACAGGAAAAAGTCAAACATTACTTAATTTAATTTAAGAAATGTTTAACAGTATGAAACGTTTCATCCATTAAATAAACAATAAATATCTGTAAAAAAATGTATTTCAACAATATTAAAAAAAAAAAAAGTAAATAGTTTTATGGTTATTTACAGTGGCAGATTTTCATGTTCTTTTACATTAAACATGTAGATTCCTGTAATTTTAAGATTCTGGTGGTTTAACATTATATCGCTGTGTTTTTAGTTTTTTTATGTCTATATATTTTATAGGTGGCTTATTTTACTGTCAGTATATAGAATATCAAAACATTTTAATGACCTCATGATACAGTATGTCCAGGAATCAGAATGTAAACCGTGTTTATAGATTTAATAATAATAATAAAAATAGTCAATATTTAAATAACTTCTTCTCTTTTTAACAAATGCTAATTTTGCTACGTAAGAAAGAAAAATGTTACATATTAATATAAATTAGTACATATATCCGATATATTCTACTTTTATTTGCTCTCCAGGAAAAAGGGCAGTGATTATGCAATTTCAGTCTTTTAATGTGAAACATCTGCGCAGGAAAAGACCTGCAAAGTCGAAGTGAGGGGAATGAATCAGTGCGTTTAAGAGAGAAACTCTGGTGTGTGACAGTGTTGTACTGATGGGATTAGAGCTGTGGAATTAAAAATAAAGACTAATACGAGCCCGTCTCTGCAGTCGAGGTACATAAAGTTTAAAAGTTATGGTTTTACGTCAGTTTGTACAGCTAAGCAGAAGCGTGTTTGTTAAATTCCGACACATTTGCAAAGTCAGGAGAAAACTCTGCGCTCTAACTACAGAACTTGTCTCATTGTGCTGTCAGTCCAAATGCTTCATAAAACAAACTTCAGGCTGCAGCATCATATATCATTAATGAACTTAATCAGCAGCAGCAAGTGTGGGCGGTTTAAAAATAAGTCTGGGGGTGGAACTACATTTACTCTGTACTGTACTTCACTGTTTGTACTTTACATCCATTTTATGGCATGTTTTAACATATATTTTCAAAATGTTATGTTTTTTAACCTTTATTTAACTCTTCCAATTAGTATTTAAGTGTCATATTAAAGGTTTCATATGACGGGATTGTAAAATATGATCATTATAGGATAAACTACCCACATTATAAAAACGAAATGTTTCGTCCAACCAGAATATTAAAACATTGCACACACATTAATAAATTAAACATAAAAACATCCTTCCTAAGCCCCGCCCCTTTTGCCTTGTGCTCCAATAACAGTTGAGTAAGCTTCCTTTCCTGTACTTAGATATGCTATATGCTAAGACATTTTGAAGATGGTTAAAAGATAAAAGCGGGATATATACGTCACATTTTAAGTTAGCTAATGTTTGCAAAATGCTAGTTAATCTATATCAATTGTTAGCTAGTGTCATGTTATGTGTATGTATGTTATCTAGTTAGTTAGGTGGCTAGTTTGCTAGTGTTTTGCTCTGTAGCAAGAGGCCAGTTAACTAGCCACCTAACTAACTAGAT